CGTGGTCTTAGGCTAGAGGTTCTGCGTGGAGGTGTGGGCAGTGGGGGGGCCCTCCCGGGGGTCTCTCCCTCCCTGGCTTGCTGATAAGCAGGAAGGCCAGGTCCCTGGCTTTGAGGGGCCTGGGACAGGTTTCCCCAGGGGCTGCTGACTCCAGCTAGCAAGGGGATGCCCTGAGCTGGTCTAGGCTGAGGAGGAGGCTGGGTGCCCAGGCCAGCTGCCGGACATTCCAGGCAGAAGCGGACAAGCGGGGAAAAGGAGGCGAGTAAAGATAAGTGGGGTCCCTCTGCCCTTGCAGGGTTGCAGCCCATCAGGTGGTCAGCGGAGTATCAGGGCCAAAGGTCGGCCTGCTTTGGGAGGGGCACCAAGAGCCCCAGGCTCGGCTGGGAAAGTGGGGGCGACTGTATGCCCTGGCCTGGGAGCGGGAGATGAGTTAGGAAGCTGTTGCCTCTCCTGCCTTTGCCGCACCTGACCCCACACTCCGCTGGGCCCCACAGGGGTGGGGCTGGGGGTGGGGGACGGGTGGGGTGTTCTTTGAGCCTCAGTGGCTGCCTGTGGGTCTGTGTGAAGCTTTGGGGGCCTCAGGCCCAGACTAACGGGAGAGTGGAGGGGGAGAGAAGACTGTAGGGGGCGGTTTGCCCAGCGGGGCACAGCCGCTGGGGGGTGGGATGAGCCACCGGATCCTCTCCGAGAGGTCAGATTCAGGCCCCACTCCCTGATTTTGAGACAGGACTGCCATGCTGCCGATTTGGACCTTTGAGACGCTCCTCGGATTGACCCTGAATAACTCGGGCCAGGGCACAGGAAGTGTGCAGGTGGCCCGCGCGCGGCCCCTGCTGTCCCCTCTTCGGCGTGGCCGTCCTGCCCTGTGCTGTCCCTTCCTCCCCGCGGCCCTGCGCCCCCGGCCCCGGCCCCAGCCGGCCATTCGCTGAGGTCTTCCCGGGGCTCAGCCTGGAGCCCGCCGCCGCTAGCCAGCCATCAGTCAGGCTTCCGGAGCCTCTTTAACTTTGGGGTCCTCTCTGCCTTCTCTCCCCCATTGCCCCCACCCCATGCTTCTACTTGACTTCCACCGTGGCTGTGCCTCCCCGTGCTGGCTCCCGGCCGGCCGCCCCCCTCCGCCCGCCGCTGCTACGCCGGGCTGGCCCCGGCCAGCTCCCTCTCATCCTCTTAACCAGCTTCCTCGTGCCCGGGCTCTGCCCCTTCTGCTTTGCCCAGAGAAATCGCGGTCGCAGTTGCGGTCCCCACTGGCCTCTGGTCCTCGCCGCAGGCTCCGTTACACCCAGGCCTCTCCCGCCCATGGCCTGTGTCCTTTGGCCATAAACGCACACAAGGGTCTGCCGCCGGGAACACACCCTGACCCACATGGCTGGTCGCCTCTCCACCCCTGCAGCTGGTTGGCAGGCCTTTGCCCCTCTGCCCCCTCCTGCTCTGGCTGAGCCAGCTCTTGCACAAACCCTGGCGACACCAGCCCTCGCCCCTGGGGTGTTGGCAAGGCCTTTGGTCCCCATCCCTGCTGCGTCGCGCAGTGGCGTCCACTGTCCAGGCAGTGCCCTGCTGCCCTTCCGAGGGGCTGCTTGCTCCTGGGTCTTCCTGTTCCGTGTCTGTTTAGTTATTTTTAAAGATTCATTTGTTTTATACACACAAGAACTGCGGTACAGGCCAGAGGTGCGGGGGGTGAGAGGACTCCCCAGAGACAGAGTGGGGAGCAGACAGGCAGATCCGCGGAAACTCACTGCCAAGGGGAGCAGGGGGAGACAGGAGGGGTCTGCGCGCCCGTGGGTCACTCCCTGGCGGGATCCGCCCGGCTGCGCTGGCCGGACCCACAGCTTCTTGGTGCCACGCTGTCACCGGCTACCTTGTGCCGTCAGGGAGGCCCCAGTGTGTGTTATTAAAGTGCTGCAAACACGTTTAGAAAACAATCCAACAGAGCCAAACAGCGGATACCACCAGGCCGGGCCACTGGCTTGGGCCTCGTGTTCCGGCCACTATGCATTTTGCTGAGTTGGTGGAGTGGTGAGGTCAGATTTCCTAAAAGACCCTGAAGATGGTGGCGGGCAGATCATTCCACGTCGGAGACAGCCTGGCTGCAGGTTTGGGGTGGATTACGGGGCCCGGCTGGGAATGCTGCGAGGAGGCTGGGGACAGCTGTGGGATCAGCAGCGATGGCCTTCGGGACCTGGCCGGCCGGAGCGTATTTTCAGAGTATTTAAGTCACCGAGTGTTTCAGCGCGCAGAGGCTTCACCCAGATTGCCTGCCTTTCTGGACACACGAGTCTTGTGCCTGCGTTCAGGCCCTCGGCGGCGGCTGGGGGCAGACGTGAGAGGGGGCTCTGCACCCGCCAGGCTCGCCTCCCACCCTGCACACTCCCTCCGCCTGGGTTCGAGGGCTTCCGAAGGGGCTTGGGAAGCTCAGGAAGGGGCAGAGGAACCCCAACAGGTGGGAAGGGAGAAGGCCCAGGAAACCAGGTCCAGGGTGTCAGCTGGTGACCAGAGGGGAGCCCCTAGCCCCCGCTGCAGGGTCACAGCTGAGAGCCCGCACCTCTGCAGGTTGGAGATGTCTTGTGTGGGCTGAGCTAGCTTTCTAGACGCTGGGTGGGAGTGGAGGAGGAACTACCCTGGGTGATGGGGGCGAAGGGATTTTTTTCCAAGATGGGAGAAGCTGGACCATGGTTCAATGTTAAGGAGAGAGATCTGGTGGCAAATAAGAGGGAAAGCATGTCCTGGAGCAGCAGGAAGATTTGGGGTCCGGAGGACAGAGGGACCCTCTCTTCTTGTCCTCTGGCCCCGGGGAGACCCTGGGCGACTGCAGAGGGGACTTGTGAGGCCTGGCCAGCCAGGGAGCCCCTTGGGAGGAGCCATGCCTCACCTGGCATTGCCGGTCCCCTCCCCCTGCCCCCTGCCTGCCTGGCACACCACCTGGCTGCCAGGGTCTGCATTCCACCCGGCAACCCCAGATGCCTGCAGGGCAGCTCCCTCCCTTATTTCCTTTAGACATTGTTCAAATATCGCGGTGTCACGGGGCGTTCCCTGACCCCTGTTTACAGACCGCACACACGGACACATTCTTAGCCAGCCTTCTCTGCCTTCCACGGCGCTCTGCCCGCCTCAGATGTTATCTGCCTGTTGGTGGTGTCCCTTCCTGGGAGACAGGCCCTGGGGGGTGGGGGAGGACTCCAAGGCAGGATCTCCAGCCCCCTGGGGGCCCTGGCAGCCCCCCTCTGGGGCCGGGTCCTCTCTGAGCTAGAGGGCCAGCAGGCCCCGGGTGGGCGCGGAGGGAAGCGGCTGGGAGGGCCGCTGATGGCGCCTGCGGTCTGCAGTCCTTGTCACAGACTGCAGAGGGATTTGCCCAGAGCTCAGGAGCGGGCCTCAGGCTCGCCGGGCCTCAGCCAGTCAGAGTCGGGAGTGGCCTGTCCACTGCTCCTCTCCCTGCCCCGCTGACCCGACTTCTCAGGCAGCAGCAGGCAGCCCTCAGGAGGCCTCCGGTCCCTGAGTTAACTGTAGAGTTCATTTGCGCCAGGTCATGTGGGCGCGGGGGTTGGAGGCCTCAGCCAGGCCCAGGCCCCTGGAGCTGACCGCCCTCTCCTCCCACAGGCATTTGCATCAAGTGCGGCCTTGGCATTTACGGAGCGCGACAGGCCTGCCAGGCCATGGGGAGCCTGTATCACACCGACTGCTTCACCTGCGACTCCTGCGGTAGGTGGATGCTTCCTGGCCTCACCTGCGCCAGGTGGATGGACCCCCAGGCTGGCAGTGGAGGAAGCCGCACAGTTTTCCAGGAGCCCGGCCTGTTTGAGGCCCCCGGGCCCTGGGGAGGAAGCACCAGACCCTGGAGCAGCCGGCTGCTGGCTGGACAGGGGGTGGCCCTGGCCCTCGGCTTTGGCCTCTCCAGCCGCGTGGGGCGGGACCACCTGGGCCAGCAAGGAGCCTTCTGCCCGGGTGGACGTGGGGCGAGTCCTGCTTTCCCCTGCGTTTTATTTTTTCGCACTTTCACACATAGTATGAGCTATAAATCTTAGCATTTAACCTAGACAGAGTTATGAAAAGAAACATGAACGCGGGGAGGGCGTGACTGGGAGCCAGGGGAGGAGGCCCTGGCGGCCGGGGGGTGGGTGTGGCGTGGCGTGGGGGAGCCTGCACCCTACGCCCGCCTTGTAAAGCTGTGTCGCCGCCGTGCACACTTAATAAAAGTATTTCAACGGTAATTAATGCCAAAAAGGAAAATGCAGCTGTAAGCCAGCCGGCATCATACATCTGCACCCTTGATTTTCCCAGTGTCCTTTCAGGCTCTATCCTACATGAGCATCTTTCAGTCACTTTCAGCAGAACTTTTAATGCTTTTTAAGAGTATGATACACACGTTGCTGAGTTAAATAGGCCTGAGGAGCTGTTCTTGAAATGAGAAAAAGCCACTTAGCTTCCTTCTCCTGACCCCATCCCCAGAGGAAGCATCTGGCGTCCTGGCGAACGCCTCCCTCTTACAAGCATGTGCTGTCGCTGCCTTTTTGACGTTTTATTTATTTATTTTTAAAGATTTACCCATTCACGCACACAGAACTGGGGTACAGGCGGGAGGCACTGACCCACATGGCTCCCCTCAGCAGTGTACTTCGTCGATCTGCCTGTCTGTTCCCCGCTCTGTCTCTGGTGAACCGTCTCACTCCCTGAGCCTCTGGCCTGCACCCCAGCTCTTGCATGCATGTATAAGTAACATAAATCTTTTTTTAAAAAGTCTGTTTCAGAAGTGTGCGGGAAATGCCTGCAGCTCGCATGCCTAGCGAAGACAGAACATTCCAGACACCCAGAAGCGCCTGGTCCTTTTCACTTGCGCCTGTGTTTCCCCACTGCACCTGCCCAACGGTGCTCTGACTTCTAACTCTTTTAGCAATTACTTTTATCTTTTCCAGAACTTCATACAAATGCAGTCAAATCATGTGTACTAATTTTTGGCACTTTTTTTTTTTTTTTTTTTTTTGCTAAATAGGTCTTTTTATTTATTGAAAAAATCTTTAAACATGTCTTCTTAAGCAGCATGGCGGCCTGTGTCAGAGCAGGGTTCCCTGGTGTGAATATACCAGAATTTGTTTACCCATTTAGCTGTTGATTGACACTAGGTTGTGCCATGAGCATTCTTGTACAGGTCACTTGTGGACAAACGTGTGTTCATTTCTCTTGGGCGAGTTCCAAGGCAGTGGAATTTCTGGGTCACAGGCTGAAGTGTATGGTTAACTTCACACGCTGCCAAGTGGTATTCCCACTAGAAATGTAGGAACGTTGGGTCACGCTGCATACTTTCCAGTGGGCATCTTGCTCTTTGTAACTTACCCACGCTAATGGCTGTAAAGTGTTATCTCGTTTTACTTTGCATTGCTTTAGCGACGACTGAGGGACATCTTTTTACCTATTGCTTGGCCATTTACATCTTTTGCTTAAGTTTTATTTTATTTATTTATGCATAGAAGAACTAGGGTGTAGGCCAGAGGTGCAGCAGGTGAGAGGATTCACCAGAGACAGAGTGGGGAGCAGAACAGGCAGATCCACTGAAATCCACTGCTGAGGGGAGCAGCAGGGAGACAGGCGAGGTCTGCTGCGCCCTGTGGGTCACTCCCTGGCTGGGGATCGAGCTCATGCTGCAGTGGCTTTCGGGAGCTTCAAAGTGCTGAGACTTACCCTCTTGAGCCACCAGGGAGGCCCTAAACTCCCTGCTGTCAGTGGTTTCTGGGACATTCCTTCCTGCTGCCTTCCCACAGAGCACAGCCACAGCCTCTGTGATTAAAGAGCCTTCCCAGTCCTTGGTTGTCCACCTGTCTTGCTTTGGACCGTTTGGGCAGGGCTTGGTCCTCTAGGAGAAGGCAGCTATGATTTCACCAGCAGGTCTGATGTTGGCAGTGGGCCCCCCCAGGGAGGGGCTGCCCTCTGGCTCCCAGATGCCCCTTGGCTCCTACAGAGGTGCCTGCATAGCGCTGCTGGGCCCCTGGGCTGCGTTTCCACGCTGCGTTTCCACGGACTGTCTGTTGGCTGCCTCCAGCTGGTGGGGGCCATGACGCTCCAGGCCATGCAGATGTCTAAAAAGTGCGCCCTGGATTCAGCCGAAGTGACTGTGTTTTAGTGACCAGAACATCAACTGATACCCGTAAAACACTTCTTCATATATTTTCTCTGACAACTTCTTGCCATAGTGCTGTTGATAATATGCTCAGTTTAATTTTTTCACTTTTTAATTTTCTTACATTGTTGTTCATTTTTGGACGGTATTTGACTTCTCTCGGGTGTAGACCCCATAAGCCTCCCACCACATCACCGGTGAAACGTCATCTCCCACAGTCCCCTGCGCTCACTCACGTCTTGACCCCTCCCCTGCTGTGTTCTTTAGGTCTTTGGTCAGCTTGTAAGTTTTCTCCTTTATCTGACCTTTTCCCCGGTTTCCCTATAGTGCCCCCAAAAGTGACGTCTGCTATTTTTCTTTTTCCTTCTGGCTTATATCACTGAGCTTGATCCCTTCCAGCTCCATCCATGTTGCTGCAAAGGGCGTGAGTTTATCTTCTTTTTTTGGTGGCTGAGTAATATTCCACTGTGTACATAGACCACATCTTGATCCAGTCACCTATTTTGGGCATTTAGGCTGTTTCCAGATCTAAGCTGTTATAAATATACTCAGTTTGGTTTTTGAAAAAAAATATTAATTGGCATAATATCAATTACATAGCATTTGAAACAAATTTTAAAATGTAGCTCATAGTCAGCTTCTCATCTGTTGGAAAGGAGACTGAGGGCTGGAGGTGGGGGCTTCTCCCCTGGCCTCTGGTGGCCCGGGACCCTCATGACCTTCATCCCTGCAGGGAGACGGCTTCGCGGGAAGGCGTTCTACAACGTGGGCGAGAAAGTGTACTGCCAGGAGGACTTCCTGGTGAGGATGGCCATGGCCCCGGGGGCGCTGGGGTGGCCTGGGCCCCCCTGGTTTGCATGGACATGAGACCAGGAGGCAGGTGCTTGAGGCCAGCAGTGGCCCCTGTGCCTAACGTGCTGGGTCCCGTGTCCCCTGCAGTACTCCGGGTTCCAGCAGACGGCCGACAAGTGTAGCGTGTGTGGACACCTCATCATGGAGATGGTGAGACACCCCCAGGCAGAGTCCGAGGCCCCCCTTCACCTGTTCCAGACCTGCCCCGGGCTCCGAGCCAGAGCCTCCGGGGCTGTGCCGAGCCTCCCACTGCACTGACCCTTCAGTGCCTCCCGCCCCCAGATCCTTCAGGCCCTCGGCAAGTCCTACCACCCGGGCTGCTTCCGGTGCTCCGTGTGCAACGAGTGCCTGGACGGGGTGCCCTTCACCGTGGACGTGGAGAACAACATCTACTGCGTCCGGGACTATCACACGTGAGTAGCGCCGTGGGCCGGCGGCTCTGGCTGTTTCTCCTGCTCCTGGGCTCGCGTCCGGCCTGGCCGTGCTCTCCGGCCCTGGCCTCACTCCTCCTCCCTGGGAGCACAGTGATGGGGCCGACTCGGCGGCCCGCAGGTGTTCCGCCCAGCTCCCCGCCTTGCCCTGCATGCTCCCCCCTGGGTGATGGGGCTCCCCGCTGCCCTTCCTGGCACGTGTCCCTCTGTGTCCAGGACCAAGCCAGGCCTCTTCTGCCTGGGTAGGAGTTGGGGCTCCGCCAGCTTTTTCCTGCCTTTCTGGTGCCCACATGTGTGGCTGACCCGCTCTCCCTCGCATGGGTCCAGGCTCAGCCCTGGAGCCCTGGTCACTGATGCTGCCTCTCAGGAACATGGTGCACTTCGTGTGTCAGCAGACTTCTCAGAGGTCTCGGCGAGGGGTGGCCACCTGGACCTTAGGTCAGGGAACTCACAGAAGGCGTGAGGCAGAGGGCAAGGCAGATTCCGAACCGCCTTGGTGGAGACCATGTCCACACGTGGACGTGAATTGGGAGCCAGATCGGTGGCTATGCCAGGAGGCCGCGGGTGCCGCCCTGTGGCCTTGGCCTCCGTCACTCAGCTGGTTTCCTTCCCCCCAGGGTCTTTGCACCAAAGTGCGCCTCCTGTGCCCGTCCTATCCTGCCTGCACAGGTAGGAACCACCGCCTGGCACTGGCGGGGTGCTGGTCCAGCCTGGCCCTGCCCCACACTGCCAGGTCTGTCCTAGTCTTGGGCTCAGCGGGAGGGCTGAGCTGGCGCCCGCCTCGCATCCCTTGGGGCTGAGGAATGTGTCTTGAGCCCGTGAGTGCAAGTGCAAGTGTCGTTGGCATGAATTAGAGGGTGGTGGTACCCCTGGGGCTCGGCTGCCCCCAGCGTCCTCAGCTCCACAGCCCGTGCAGTAAAAAGCGCTCCCAGGCCGCCAGGGGGCACATAGCATCTGTGGGGTGCTCCTCCCGCATGCTTGTTGGGGGGCTGCAGCTGTGGGAAGAAGCCCGGGCTGCACTTCCATTGTGTGCCCGTGGGCGCCGCGGTCACGCTTACCCGGGCGGGAATGCCCGTTGCGGGCCCACACACGCCCCAGTGTGCTCACCGTGCGTGAACCCATGTCCCACCAGGGTTGTGAGACCACCATCCGTGTGGTGTCCATGGACAGAGACTACCACGTGGAGTGTTACCACTGCGAGGTGAGCTGGGCCCCGGAGGCTGGGCACGGGCGGCCCCTCCCTGAAGGAGGCGCTCAGAGCCCAGGAGGGCAGGAGGGAGCGACAGGGAGGACTTCCGAGGAGTCACGGGCCCCTGTGGAGCCAGGCTGGCTTGGTGGGGCCAAGTGGCGCAAGGGGACCAGCCGCTCTGCCAGGCCAGGACCAGGGATGGAGGGTCAGGAGCGGGCATGAGCTGTCCGGGGCCCCGCGCCCCTGGCAGCAGCGGCGTCTGCGTCTGCCTGCTGAGTGCACCTCTCAGGGAAAGCTGCACACCGGAGCAGGGCCGGCCCCAGCTGTGAGCCTGTGCTCCTTGGCAGGGAAACCCTCGGGCAGGAGCTGGGTCTCCTGACCCCCTTGCTCGCTCCCTCTCTGACGGATGTGGTGTTCAGCGGCAGGGCCTGGTCGGGTCTGTGGCGGGGTGGGAGGGGGACCCTGGGCCGTGGGCCCTCACAGCCCCCAGCTCCTTGTGTGTGGTGGGGGGTGGGGGGGTGGGCAGTGGTTGGCCTCTGGGAAGCAAGTGTCAAGGCTTTGGTGGGACTTCAGCCCTGCATCAGGGTCCAGCTGGCCTGTCCCTTCCAGCACTCTTCCGCCAGTGAGGTGCAAGGGCCAGGGAGCCACCTCATCTTAAACAGAAAGGCAGCCTTAAAATGCACCGCGGGGCGACCGGGCAGGGCAGGGCCTGCGCAGGACGTGGTCTTTAGCCACGTCTCAGTCCTTCCTTTCTGTGAACCCTTCACGCCAGGGAGCCCTGGAAGCCAGCCACCCTGCCTTAGCCCCTGGGCAGCTTCCCCACCCCGACTCTCCCCACTTCCCCATCACTTTCCCTTAGAGCCATCCATTTTTTGTTTTCCTTACTTGCACGCCCCCTCTCCCCGCAGTTACCCCAGTTATCTGGACCCTCGGGAGAGGGTCTGTGTTTGTGTTTGTGCTGATGCCCACTTACTGCCCAGCCTCTCCCGACTCCAGCCAGCTCGGCCACCTCCCTCCTCCAAGCACAGGCCGGCTCTGGGCCCCTTCTGCAGGCCCCTTCCGCACGCCCACCGCAGGAGTAAGGGCTCACCCTTGCAAGCTGTCCAGACCCCCAGGTCTGCGGCCACCCCCTTCCTCAGGTCGCCCGACAACCCGCCCTTACGGGGCTGCGCTGTGTTCTGCCGTAGGACTGCGGGCTGCAGCTGAGCGGGGAGGAAGGTCGCCGCTGCTACCCCCTGGAGGGCCACCTGCTGTGCCGCCGCTGCCACCTGCGGCGCCTCCGGCCGGGCCCGCACCCCCCACCTGCCGTGCAAGTCACGGAGCTCTGAGTGGCCGCGGGGTGGCGTCGCGCGGGTGGGAGCGGGCGCAGGGGCGGTGGGGCCCCTCCGGCTCCCAGCCCGCCTGCCCGCCGGCTCGTGGAGTTGCTGTCCGCAGGGGCCGGCCCCGCGGAGAAGCCATGTCTATTTATTCACGTCTGTGCCTCCTCAAGCCGCTGCCTTCTCTCCGGACTCCGCCTGCCTCCGGCCCACCCATCCCGGCCTCTCCCGGGCCCCTGGACCTCGCAGCCTCCGCCGCGGGACTGGTTCCCAGACGGGCCGAGGGGTGTGGTGGGGCAAGGCGGGGTGCGTGTGTGTGTGCGCGTGTGTGTGCCTTCCCTCCTCTCCCCACTGGCCTGGGGGCGGGGCCGGTCCACTCGGAGGGCCTGGGACCCCCCTCCAAGAGAGCTGCCTGAGTGGGGCGGGGTCTGTCCGGGACTCGGCAGAGGGCGTGCTCGCGTGTCTCGTCAGCGCCTGGCCCGCTGCTGGGTGGAGGGTGCCTGTGTGAGTGGATGGGCAGGGTCACAGGAGGGGGTGATGGGTGACACCCTTGGGCCCCCCGGGCCGGCGAAGAAGCCCTGCCTTTGGCTGATACCGGATTTGGCCACCCGAATTCTCATGGGTGTCTTCAGTCACAGTTCCCGCCAACTTGCCACCTCTGACTGCTGGTTTGGGGCTCTGACTCCCCGCCCTCTCCTCTAGCTTCTGGGGTAGAAGCTTCCGGCCGCCTCCAGCCCCTGGCTCCGCCGAGAGAGGCCGCCAGGGGGCGCCCTGCCCGCGTGGCCGGGACACCTGCTGCAGGAAAGCACTGTGTATCGGGCTCCACGACAAAAGGATATGATTTGACTTAAATTAAGTTTTTCCTTTGAGAATATTTTCATTTTCTTTGAAAGAATATAGTTTCTTCTAAAAACGTGGGCCACAGTTGTTATTTCTTAGGAAGATTACAAGCAACTCACAAATGTCCAATTTGTATATCATGTAGCTAGTTTTCAAGGCGGTCAAAACATTGTAGTTTAATTATTTTTGTATAAGTTTGTCTAAAAATCTAAAAATGTGTCTGCTTTTCAGACTTTAAAATGGTGTGGCTTTTGTTTGTGTCTGTGTCTTAAGAACGGGGACTTAGTGAAAGGTAACTTGGGAAATGTAGCTTTTTTTCCTCTGAGGCACGGCAGCATTGGGGAGCTCAGACTGCTCACCCACGGCTTGCGTGGGGTCTGCAGGTGAGGGTGGGGCCTGCAGCAAGAGGCCCCGGTCGCCACAAGAGATCACAAGTGGTCTACGTGGAATATTTTGACCCAAGTCCATTTATTCCTGTGATACTCTGAAGCTCCACCTCGTGGCTGCTGCTCCAGCACACCCCACCCCCGTCCCTCTTAGTTTTAGGTCTCTGCCTGAAGCCTCACTTACTGGGGAAGCCAGGGTCGAGCCAGAAGTTGGGGAGTGCCCAGTGGATGCACGGGTGGGTGGAGCTTGGCCGCGAGATTGAAGCCTGGATCTGGGAGGCCCCCTGGTGGGCAGTGCAGCAATTACATGCAGTACATGGTGTCCAGGTTTCCAGAGTTTTACGTGCTGAGGTGGAGGAAGTACAGGTGTCTGTAGAAGGGAACTTCAGTGGGTTCAGAGTGGCTACTTGCAGCGGTCCCAACAGGGCAGGAGAGTAAGTTCCAGCAATAGGAGGCTGTTTCTAACTTTCTCTTCCTCTCAAGTTGGACTTCTTTGTTTTCTAGCCGATTATTGCAAAGTTTCTGATTGCCCTTTTGTTTTCTGCATCAAAGGTGCTTTGCTCTTGGTTTTTCCTTGTGCAAGCTTTGCCCTTCTCATGTCTCTTCCTCTGAGTCTGCTGCGGAGGTGGCATATGATCTTCCAGCCGTGGGGCTCACCCTTGTCCTCCATAGCAGCTCCATGCTGGTCACCATGCTCCCCCAACCCAGCCAGCACTGAAGCATCAGAATGGAGTTCCCCAGAAGCCAAAACTAGGGCATCCCCGCGGGGCCGTGGCTTTGTCTCAGGCCATACTTTACTTTTTCTCTCTGGTCTGAAGGGCCCTGATGCCTGCTGTCGGGACCGGTGACCAGAGTGCTGCGCCTGGGTTTAATACAATATTTTACAGAGAGGTTTACTGTGAGAACAGTCATACAGTGCCCCCCCCCTGCACCTGCTCAGGTCCTTCAACGCATATTGAACCTCCTCTTCCCTATTATGACTCGAGTTTTTCCTCTTATTGCCCAAATATAAAGAAGCTCACAAAAATTGACTCGGTCTATGCATATTTAAAGAGAAATAACAATATTAAATTGCAGGGAACGGGTGGATGCACCAGTTGCACTGACATGGTTTCACATATATTTGATTTGGAGAACAGCCGATGACTATCACTAAACATTTCTGTGATAATTTGCAGGCTATTCTCCACACACATGTCCTAGTGTCCCGTTTAAAAGGACGGGGAGTCCTCTCTCCTGTTACCTTGGCGCACACTCCCCAACGCCCCTTGCGGGCATCTTCCTTCTGGCCGGGTGGTCTGAAGCCAGAGGCCAGCGAGGGCCGTTGCCCGGTGGAACTACAACACCCAGGTGCCTCTGCGCGGCGCATCGCGGCGCTGGGCCAATGAGATGAGAAGGGCGTTCTTCTACCTTGGGGCGCGTGTCTAGGCGGGACTTCCGGCGGCCTCATGGCGGCGCTCGTTTTGGTGCCTGGGTCTGTCCGCTAGATTAGATTCTGAACTCTTGGTCTGCGCCAAGGTAAGGTGAATGCGAGGAGGTCAGCGGAGACGGGTCTGTGTCTCAGGAGAGTGGGCCTCTTGGGGGCGACGCTGCGTGGGGATGGGCCGGGGTGGCGTGAGCCGGCGCCACCCTGGCTCGGCCGCCCACCTCTCCCGCCTTCATCCACAGCCACACTCTGATTGACCCAGCGAAGGCCGATGCTTCGTGCCCCGAGCCCCACCTGCTGGGAGGTGAGGGACACCCATCTTGGAATCCCGAAGCTTCGAATTAGGGGCGCCTGATCTGGTCATTTCGTCACGTCTTCTTCAGGACATTGGGGCATTCTTGGGTGGGGGCCCATTTCTGACACTCGGCATGATGAGCGGCAGAGTGTCTTGTGCGGAGGCTTGAGAGGTGATTCGTGGGCATAGGGAAACCTGGACAGTACCTCTCTCTGCTGGAAGCAGAGTGAGCCCTTGTGCTTGGGTGGGATAGCAGTCACCTGAGCACCCTGGATTTCCTCTGAGGACGCCCTGGTGTGGAGGCCTGTAACAGAGACTAGCTCTGAGGTTAAGTTTTAAAAGGCTGCTCAGAAGAGACCAGACTGGTCGCAGCTTAAAAGTGGAGGTGGAGGGTCCTCCCCGGTGGGTTAAGTTGCAACACTGTGAAGCTCTCTGCAGCCACTTCAGTGAGTTTGATCCCCGCCACAGAGCTGACTCACATGGCAGAGCAGACCTCTCCTGTCTCCCCACTGCTCCCCTCAGTGATGTACTTTGTTGATCTGCCTGTTCTGCTCAGCACTGTCTCTGGTGGATCCACCCCCACCCCTGCTGCCACATCTTTGGCTTGCACCCCAGTTCTTGTATGCATAAGTAAATTAATTTTTTAAAGAAAAAGTAGAGGTGGAAAGGACTTGTGGAGGCTACTGCCACACTTTGATCACCATGGGGTCTGGGAAAGTGGTGACTGCAAAGAGGAGAGACGTGATCAGTTAGGACATTTTTTTTTTTTTTAAGATTTATTTATTTATGCATACAGAGCTGGGGTACAGGCCAGAGGTGCAGAGGTGGTGAGCGGATTCACTAGAGCAGAGAGGGGAGCAGAACAGGAATATCCACTGCAGTGCACTGCTGAGGGGAGCAGCGGGCAGGTCAGGAGAGGTCTGCTGCCCCATGTGGGTCACCGGGTTGGGGAGGGGAACCAATTCACAATTAAGCCTCTGCAGCAAGCTTGCAGTGCTGCACCCTAACACTCTGTACCACCAAGGAGGGCCGGCCCTCAATCCCCATTCTTAATCTTTTGTTTGCTTTTCATTTCGATTCTGATTTCTGGCCAGGGCTAATCCACATTTATCTGGTTTCCCCTCTTCCTGTCTACTGTGCTCTCCAGCACTGAGCTATCCATACTGTGTTGTGAGATGCACACCTATCCTGAATCTTCCGTCAACACTAGCTACTCAGTCACAATGTGTTTTGAGAGTCTGGGCACACCCTTCTGTCCAGGGCTGGTGTCACCAGCAGACAAGTCCCTGCTGAAAGCCCCTGGTGGAGAAGTGATTGGTCACCCGGGCTCTCCTTACTGTGTTGCTTATCCTTTCCCTGTCCTTGCCTCCACTAGGCTTGCCCCTGGTGTGGCCTCCCCATTGCCAGCCTCAGTACTTCATAACAGACCCTTTCTCCCCTGACGTTGCCTCATTTACCAAGGTTCCTATATTTGTGATGGGGCTGACTCCTCCTGCCAAAGTCTGTATACTCTTTACCAACTTTTCTAGGTTGTTTTCTAATAGAGGATGAAGAAGTGACTTCTCAAGGAGTGTCACAGGTGGGGACTTCCAAGGCAGGCCCAGTTTCCCAGAAAGTCTACCCTTGTGGGATGTGTGGCCTAGTCTTGAAAGACATTTTATACCTGACTGAACATCAGCAAATGTACCCTGAGAAGAAGCTGCACATATGTGTGGCCTGTGACAGACCACTCTGATTCAGTAGAAGTATTCACCAGCACCAGAAGCAGCACAGTGGAGAGAAATACCTCAGAAGGGATGAAGGCTGGGCTGTATTTGTGAAGAATTGCAGAGATATGGGGCTGATGGGAAGGACTCCCAGCCCAGCTTGGACCTTTTCCAGCACCAGACCACACTCTGCAAGGGCAGTTTATTCAGAAGCATTGAGTACAGCAAGGCCTTTCACACTGGAGATGAACATTACAGACACCACAAATAGGGGAAAACCTTCTGCCACAGAAACAAGCTGAGCACCAGAGAGTTCACTCTGGGAAAAGACCATATGAGTGACTTTAGTCATAACTCTAGTCTACTTGTATACCAGAGTTCACCTGGGCATAAGGCCTTATGTTTGTAATTAATGTGGGAAAGTCTACAGGAAAAGCTCCCACCTTGTTTAACAGTGGGGAGTTCACACTGGAGAAAGGCCTATGAATGTAGTGAATGTGGGAAAACCTATAGCAGAAGCAACCACTTTGTTTGGCATAAAAGACTTCATACTGGAGAAAGGCCTGTGAGTACAACAAATGTAAGAAAGCCTTCAGCAGCAAATACATACTCAACACCATGGAGTTCATACTGGAGAAGTCCTTACGCTTGCAACAAATGGGGGAAATTGTTTACTCATAACTCCAGCTTTAATGTACACCAGGGAGTTCACAGTGGAGTAAGGCCTGAAGAATGTAGTGAATGTGGAAAAACCTTCAGTTTTAAACACAGACTTGTTCAGCATCAGAGAATTCACACTGGAGAAAGACCTCATAAGTGTAGTCAATGTGGTAAAGTTTTCAGCCAGAAATACAGACTTGTTCAGCATCAGAAAACCCAACTAGAGAAAGACCTTATGAATGCAGTGAATGTGGGAAATTCTTTAGGCGAACCTCTGGTCTTCCTGAACACTAGAGAATTCACAATGGGACAAGACTTCCTAAGTGTAGTGAATGTGGAAATTCTTGAACTGTGAAGTCACACTTATTCGGCACCAGAGAATCCATACTGGAGAAAGACCTCATGAGTGCACTGAATGGGAAACTCTTTAGCCAAATCTCTGGGCTTACTGCATATCAAGAGTTCATACTGGTGAACAGCCATATGAGTTCATAAAATGCTGAAAGATTTTAGCCAGCTATCTAGCCTCATTGTACACCAGAGAGTTCACACTGGTAAAGGCCTTTTGAGTGCAGCAAATGTGGGAAAGCCTTCAGCCCTAAATCCACATTTGTTCAACACCAGAGAATACACACTAGAGAAAGGCCTTACCAGTGCAGTGAATGTGGGAAATTCTTTAGTCACAAGTCCAGCCTCATTAAACATCAGAGAAGTCATTTTGGAGAAAAGCCTTCAAGTGCAGCAAACATGAAGCAACTTTAAGCCAAATGGGTGGCCCTCATTTGCTACCAAGAAATTCAGGCTGGAGAAATAGCTTTGGAGTGCATGGTGTATTGTCTGCATGGTCAGTGTGAGTGACACCAGGAAGAAGATCTGAGAATAATCTTTATGAAGTAGTCAGCTGACAAAATTGGGGCGATTCTAAGTTTCATGACTTAAGTGTAAAAGTGAGAAAGGGAAAGTTAGTCGCTTTCTGTAGTGTGGAATGGCCAACCTTTGATGTTGGCTGGCCGCCGGAAGGAACATTCAACCTTCCCACCGTCCGAGCTGTAAAAGGAGTAATCTTCCAACCAGGCCGCCAAGGCCACCCAGACCAAATTCCTTACATCCTGGTCTGGCAGGACCTGGTTGAAAACCCACCTCCCTGGCTAAAACCTTTCTTGCCTCCTCAGTTTTCTCCTGCAGCAAAGACTGTCCGGCTGTCAAGGCTGGCCCAGCAGCTGAAGAAAAGAAGCCTTCTAGAAATCCCTCAGCCCCTCTTTACCCTGCCTTGCAAGGGGGAACGGAGGAAGATCTCATCTTCCCTCCTCATCAACCCCCTTTTCTAGGACTGCCACCGGCCCCAGCCCTAACTCCCCGGGGTGGCAGAGGCAGTGGCAGCATTGGCAGGACCGGTGGGAGGTGCCAGGGGAAGGATCCTGAGGGCAATGAGTCCTCCCTCTCCCCCCACAACTGCAGACTCCATGGTCCTCCCCCTGCAGGCCGCAGGACCCCTGGATGTGGCAGGACACCAACCCATGCACTATTGGGCTTTTGCCACTAGTGACTTTTATAACTGGAAGGCACAAAATAGCTAGTTTTCAGAAAACCCCAAAGATCTAATTAGCCTCCTAGACACTATTTTGTTCACTCACCAGCTGATCTGGGATGATTACCAGCAGCTCCTCCAGGTCCTCTTCACCACTGAAGAACAAGAAAGGATCTTGATTGAGGCTAGAAAATTGGTCCCAGGGGATAATGGTCAACCCACAACTAATCCAGCTACAGTTGACAATACAGTTCCCCTCACTTGCCCTGCTTGGGACTTCAACATGGCTGAAGGTAAAGAGAGGCTCCAGGTCTACTGCCAGACTCTAATGGCAGGTCTCAAAGTGGCTGCTCATAAGCCCACTAATTTGGGTAAGGTAGGAGATGTTCAACAAGGTAAGGAGGAAAGCCCAACTGCATTTTTGGAAAGGCACATGGAGGCATTCAGACTATATACCCCCATAGACCCTGAAAAGCCAGAGACTAAGGCCACCGTAATTATGCTTTTGTTAATCAGGCTGCGCCAGACATTAAGAAAAACTCCAAAAAATAGATAGGTTAGGCGAAAACTCAGTACAGGACTTAATGGCAGTGGCAGATAAAGTTTACAATAGGGAAACCCTGGAAGAAAAAAGAAACCAGAATTAGAGCTGAAGACAAAAAGGTTTGAGCCACGGAAAATGACAGACATACATGAGACATGGCTCGGATCCTCTTAGCTGCCACTATGGAGTCTTCCAGAAGACAAAAAAAGACAACTACGCTACCTGGCTGGAAATCCAGGTAAGGAACCTCCTACCTGAGGGGAGTTACTAAAAGACCACTGTACCTTCTGTAAGGAGTCTGTTCACTGGGCCAGGGAGTGCCCTAACAAATGCAAGAGGGGCACCCTTCCAGAGCGGAACCAGCACAAGATACTGGTTGCTGGAACTGATGATTTAAATGAATAGGGGGAGCAGGGTTCGGCACCCCTCCCCGAAACCAGGGTAACTCTAAAGGTGGAGGTGTCTCCTGTAGATTTTTTGGTGGACATGGAGCACAGCATTCAGTATTGCTTAAACCTCATGGCAGATTGTTAGAAAAACCTCCTGGATACAGGGGGCCACAGGAATGCACCAGTACCCATGGACTACCCAGAGGATGGTGGACCTTGGTGTGGGCCATGTATCCCACTTGTTCATGGTCATCCCAGAGTGCCCATGCCCCCTGCTGGGGAGAGGCCTCCTAACAAAAATGGGAGCACAAATTAGGTTTAAGCCCGAAGGGACAGCTATATCTGATTCTGAGGGGCGCCCCCTGCATGTCTTAACCATCAATCTACATGATGAGTACAGGTTACATGAACAACCAACGCCTTATCAAAAAGACACTGACTTCTGATTATATAAGTTCTCCAAGGCATGGGCTGAGACCGGAGGAATGGGACTAGCTAAGCATCGACCGTCCATCCTTGTTGAACTAAAACCAAGTGCGGAACCAGAGAGAGTCCACCAATACCCCATGCCCCGGAGGCCTGGATGGGAATCACCCCTCACATTTGGCGCCTACTGGATTTGGGAGTGTTGTGCTCATGTCAGTCTGAATGGAATACCCCTCTGCTGCCAGTTTGAAAACCCAACTCCGGTGGCTACAGGCTGGTCCAGGACCTCTGGGAGGGTAAGAAATGGGTAATGGATATCCACCTGATGGTACCTAACCCTTACATCCTCCTCAGATCTTTGCCAACAGATCGGGAATGGTACACTGTCCTAGATTTAAAGGATGCCTTTTCAGCCTGCCGCTAGCCGAAAAAAGCCAAAAAATGTTCGCCTTTGAATGGTCAGACCCCCAGGGAGGAATCAATGGACAGCTGACATGAACATGGCTGCCTCAGGGCTTCAAAAACTCCCCAACCGTCTTTGATGAAGCTCTTCATGAAGACCTGAGTAAGTACCGTACTGATTTCCCTGAGGTTGCTCTGTTGCAGTACGTGGATGACCTAATCACCACCAGAACCCTTGAGGAATGTGTGATGAGCACTGCAGGTCTGCTTCAAACACTCAGAGACGTAGGGTACTGGGCATCAGATCAGCAGGCCAGAGGTAATTTACTTGGGATGCCAGCTGAGAAGGGGACGCAGATGGCAAACGGAGGCTAGAAAGATGACTGTGCTGAAAATACCCAGTCCACGAAAGCAGCGCCAGGTGCAGGAGTTCTTAGGCTCAGCAGGCTTCTGTAGACAGTGGATCCTCGGGTTTGCTGAGCTTGCAAAACCCCTCTGCAGCTACAAAGGAAGGGCAGCCATTTACCTGGACGGATGAAAGATTCCTTCTCAAAATCAAAATGGCCCTCCTCTCGGCCCTGGCACTGGGATTGCCGGCTTAACCAAACCTTTTCACCTATATGTAGATGCAAGAAAAGGCAATCCAAAAGGAGTGCTGACCCAGTATCTGGGCCCGTGGAGAAGGCTGGTGGCCTGTCTGTCTAAAAAACCAGACCTCGTGGCTGCAGAGTGGCCGCCACCCTCATAGTCAAAGATGCTGATAAACTGTTGCACAAAACTGTTCATCACCACCCCTCACACCATCGAGGGAGTGAACCCTGTTAACCCTAGAAAACGGATTCGGGGCAAGCAACCAGGAGCCTAGTGGGAGATAGATTTCACTGACGTAAAACCTGGTAAATATGGATGTAAGTACCTCCTGGTTTTTGTAGATACTTTTTCAGGATGGACAGAAGCCTTTTCTGCCAAACGAGAAACCACACAGGTAGTAGTCAAAAAGTTGCTGGAAGAAATCTTAACCAGGTATGGCTTTCCCGTAATGATAGGATCAGACAATGGACCAGCCTTTGTTTCTGAGATAACTCAGGATTTAATACATATTCTTGGGGCGGATTGGAAACTACATTGTGCTTGTAGACCCCAAAGTTCAGGACAGGTAGAAAGGATGAATAGAACTCTAAAAGAGACCTTAACAAAATTGACCATGGAGACTGGCGGGGACTGGGTGGCCCTCCTTCCTTACACTCTATAGGGTCCAGAACTCCCCCTATAAAATCAGGATGACTCCTTATGAAATAATGTTTGGCACTCCACCCCCTATTGCACCCACCCTGCAAACAAAACTGTTACTTGAAAACAATGATCACGAACTTCTCTTCTCTATTGGGGCCTTGCAGTGCGCCCACCAAGATGTGTGGCCCCAGCTGCGGTCACTCTGTGAAACCCGGCCACCACCAGAGCCGCACCGCTTCTGGCCAGGTGACTGGGTATTCGTCAGACGCCATCGACAGGGAAACCTGGAACCGCGCTGGAAGGGGCCCTATGTTGTGATCCTGACCACACCCACCACACTCAAAGTTGACGGGATAGCCTCCTGGGTCCACTACACCCACGCCCGCCTGGCCAACCCGACTGCCAACCAAGGAGACCCCCATCGCCGCTGGACGGTGGAGTGACATAAAGACAATGCTCTCAAGCTCAAGCTACTAGCATTACTCATTCTTAAGACATGGTATTGTACTTGCTCTTTTGCTTGTCGCTTTGATTGTACCACTCTGTGCAACAAACCCACACCAACCCTTAAACCGCACGTGGACCATTTATAACCTGGAGAGTGGCCGCCGGATGATCTTAAGCTAACAGAACGGTCCAAAAACTTCATGGTTCCCACAACTCCAGGTAGACCTATGTATCCTAGCCAAGGACTCCTGGACACAAAGGGAGACTGAAAATATCTCTGGAGATTCTTACCCTGACTGCTGCTTCAGGAAATATATGTGTCCCCAGGGGGTAAAAAAACTCCAAAATGTGGGGGACCTGAAAGTTATTACTGTGCTGCTTGGGGATGTGAAACCTCATATACAGGAGCCAACTGGAAGGCTGGAGGCCCTGGGGACCTGATAAAAATTACTAAACCCTCTGAGTCATCCCTCCTCTCCATCAACTTTACCCCTGACGGCAAAAAAAACTCAAGGCTGGGAAGCTGGAAAAAGTTGGGGTTTAAGATTATATAGAACAGGAAACAGTCATATTGGGTTCATCTTCTCCTTGCAATGAATCGAATACCCCCATGGGTGACGGCAGTCGTACCCAACCAAATACTAAACCCTAACCCTATCAGACAGGAGCCGACTCTTACACCATCATTATCGTCTCCCACCAACACCGTAAAACCTTCTCCAGCCTATCAGTTGTTCACCCCGAAGGTTAAGGCAGACAACCCAGTCCCCTTTGGGACCTGTTGGTAAATAGCTATAATATGCTTAACGCTACGCAACCCAGCCTGACACAAGCCTGCTGACTCTGTTACGACGTACAACCCCCTTACAATGAGGGTGTAGCTTTTCTAAGCAACTATACCACCACCACAAGCCTTGATTCCTGCCGATGGCAACAACACCATAAGGCAAAATTAACATTACAAACTGGCTGGTCAAGGGTCATGTATCAGCCAGGTCCCCGCTGAGTACAACTATTTGTGCAACCAGACCTCACCCATTAACAGCACGGACTATTATGTTCCTCCAGGGGAGGGATATTGGGCTTGCTCAACTGGTTTAACTCCCTGTGCTCATGGCACCATCCTTAACGAAACAAAGGGCTTCTGTGTGTTGGTGCAGCTATTCCCTAGGTTGATTTACCACGCTGATGAGGACATATAGCGATGGTTTACGACCCCCACTGCACCCACTGGTCGCGCCAAGAGAGAGGCTGTAGTATCAGACATAAACTTTCAGGAATCAGGAGCAGGAACGGGGATCGCCTCCCTCACCACGCGGTCCTAGCACTGTAAGGGCTTTCGAGCTTCCACTGACTTAGATATAGAGAGAATGGAGACTTTCATCAGCCACTTACAGGACTCTCTCACTTCCTCATCGGAGGTGGCACTACAAAATAGGAGGGGCTTAGACCTGGCGTTCCTACAACAAGGCGGGTTATACGCAGCCTTGGGAGAACAATGTTGTTTCTTTGCAGATCATTCTGGAGTAGTCAAAGAGTCAATGGCAAAAGTCCGAGAGGGCCTAGCCCAACGAAAAAGATAAAGAGAACAGAGAGAGGGCTGGTTTGAATCCTGGTTTAACTCTTCCCCTTGGTTAGCCACCGTAATCTCCACCTTGTTTGGGCCGCTGATAATTCTTCTTATTTTGACTTTTGGCCCTGTATACTTAACCACTTAATAAAGAGCGAGTTAATACTGTACTCAAACGGTTTTGAGATCCCAGTACCAGCCCTTGGACTCTATAGAGCTGGCCAATAGGGAGCCATGATTTATCTATGCACTAGTCAAAAGGGGGAAAGAAAGATCGAAATCTCAGACGCTATGATAGGCCTTAAAAACACATCTACTCCAGCTAGGCCTAAGTTTCATACACCGAGAAGGTGCCAAGGCTGAGTTTCAGTTTCCTGAAACCTTATCCAGGAATAACTATAAATGTCCTGATCTCGCTCATCCCCTAGCAATCAGCAAGTGCCCAGTATATGTAGGGAAGCACCAGATGTGAGCACCAAGGTATGTGAGATAAGTCACAACGGTCACAGATTACATGCATGGACCAATTGGGTTGAGACACAACAATCTTGTTCAAGCACTAACCAGTCAATGCACTGAGTGTACTGCTGTGCTGGAACTCCCCTTTTCGCTTATACACCCTCCCTTCCCGGAGCTCGGGGCTCTCAACTTCAGCCGCTGTGTGTTGGGAGCCCAGGCTTGAGCTTGCGATAAAGACCCTCGTGTGCTTTATGTCAGAATCAGTTCCTTGGTGGTCTTTGGGAAACTTGAAATCTGGGCATAACAGGCAGAGGCATGGGGGGGTAGGAGGCCCGGGGGTTCATCAGAGACAGAGTAGGGAGCAGAAGAGGCAGATGACAAAGTACACTGCTGAGGGGAGCAGCTGGGGAGACAGGTGAGGTCTGCTGCACCATGTGGGTCAGCTCCCTGGCCAGGGATGAACTGGTGCTTCAGTGGTTGCTGATAACTTCATTGTTACATTGTGCTGAGAACCCTGAGTGCCACCAGGGAAGCCCCTAATGGCACGTTTTAAACTTAAAACAGGAGTTAAAAAAAAAAAAAGCAGTCAAAATAGAGGCCCTGTTTAATGAATTTATTTTATGCATACAAGTGACATACCATAGTCACACTGTAATTTAAAAGTAAGATTGAATCAAAGAAGCTTTCCCATTGTACACTAAAAGTAGACTGTGTGGGGCCCTCCCTGGTGGCGCAGCGGGTTAAAGCACAGCACTGAGAAACTAAAGCCACTTCAGCATGAGTTCGATCCTCGCCCCCAGAGGTGACCCACATGGCGCGGCAGACCTCCCCTGACCCGCCTTTTGCTCCCCTCAGCAGTGCTCTTCATCACTCGGTCTGTCCTGTTCCCCACTCTGTCTCTGGTAGATCCTCTCACCGCCCCTGCACCTCTGGACTGTACCTCAGCTCTGTATGCATTAAAAAAAAAAAAGTAGATTGCGTGGACAGGCGTGTTAGTTTCTGTGGGTTATAGGCGTGATTCTTCCAGGGTCAAGAGGCTGTGTCTTTAGAGCCCTCACTGAGTCTGGTGTCATGTCCATCAAAGTCCTGCAAAGTACAGCAGGGGGACAGTTGCATCCTGGAGGTGACAGAACGCGATCCCTCGAGTTTCCAGGGGGTGTTATTCGTCCAGGCGCGCTACTGACAGCACTGACGGAGGGCACTTTTGGGACATAAAGCCCTGGGCAAGGAGGCGCCAAAGGATCACGGCCCAAACGATGTGGACAGGAGAGGCAGAGCCTGGGGCGAGGAAGACCTCCCGCTGGGGCAGGCCAGCACGCGGCTGCCACCGGCCCGGCCCTCTGCAGGCGGACGTTTGTGCGCGCGCACCAGCGACCCGGAAAGGCTTTTGCCTGGGCACTTTTGCCCCACTGTCTTGCAATGCGAAGCGGACATGGATGCCCCAGCCTGCGACGCAGGACTCACCGGAAACCCCTCCGCGATCCCGCCCCCCTACCCCACCCCCCACTCCTCACTCTCCCCCACCCTACTCCCGAACCACTCGGTGACCGCCCCCGGCGGTGAGGTCACGTACAGTCTTCTCGCGATGCGCCGAGATCGCGCGCGCCGCAGAGGCTTCTGGGACGCGTGGTTTTCCGGGAGGCAGCGGCGCGAGGTACCCGGAAGCTCGTGCGTCTGAGAGATGCTGGTGCTGAGTGGGCTGCGCCCTCGGTCCAGCTCGCGGTAGCCTGCAGCCTAGGGCGGGGCTCTCTGCGCTGGCAGCTGGGAGGTCTCGGGCGGGCAGTTCCGGTGAGGGCAGCGGCCATTGTCCGCTCGCAGCGACCCAGTGCATCAAGCCCTCCGAGGTGCGGGTTCGGGACGTCCGGCGGGTCAGGGGCGAGACACCCCCCGGGCTTCAGTGCCCGTGAGGGCCTGCTGAGGGTTCGTGCAAATGTGGGACCGGGAGGGCGCCGGCGGGTCTCGGGCTATGGCCCCGGGCGCAGGGCACGGCTGCCACCACCTGCTGACCCAGGGTCTGCCCGGGCGGGGCCTGGGAGAGGGGAGGAGGGTGCGCTCACCTCACTGCACTGAGTGTTCAGCGGGCGAAATGTGGGAGTGAGTGTGCGCCGTGTGTATTCTCCAGTCATGAAGCGTCTGACAAGTTCCTGGACCAAATTCAGTCAATATCGCAGAGTTTAAGTTTTCTCATCGTTTACAAAAGAAATCGGGAACGTGCCTCGTGGCGAAGATTGAACGAGCACGTCTGTAACATTGCTGGGTTTTTGTTCTACACCCCCCCACCCCCCCATCAGACTGTCTCTTGCGTAGAGGTTAGTTGATTTACTCAGAGCCCACCTGGTGACACATGGGAGCCCGGGACAGTGATCTTCAGTCTCCTTTTTCACGCAGGCGTGTCACGGAGCTGCAAAAGAAGCCTGCTTTCTGGTGACCACTTTACTCCTGTTCTTGCTGCCTTCTCAGCACATTGCCTTTCTGCCTGGACGAAGACCTTGTTGACTATTGGGAATTGCTAAGTCATGTTCCAGGTAAGTTGGTATCTCCCCAAAGCTTCCAGAAACACTTTCTTGTCAGGACTCTGTGGAGTGTTCACTTTCCTTCTCGTAGCTGTTTCTGTCAATGAAGATCGAGTAGGGACTGATCTATCATTGCTGTGGTTATTGGAAAGAATAGACAACAGAGGATAGCAAAACTATCCTCTCAGTGCTCCTTTTTTCCTTCCAAATTTTGCTTAGGCACGTCCATAAAGTCCTGAGCAAAACTTTTTTTATTATAATGCACAGTTGCATTTGGAATTTAGGTAATTTGCTTTGTGGTTGTCAAAATTGTGTCCTGTGGTATGGGTGAACCCATCAGTCAGCCTTTCCAATTGAAGTTAAGACCTGTTTAGGGTTCCCTGATTCCCCCTTCCTCTTCCAGTTCATTCAGACACTCTAGATGGATCAAAATAGATACAGAAGAGATACAGAACCTGTAGCTCATCACTTCCACCCTGGTCCAAGCCAGATTCTCGCAGGAACTTTGTAGCTCAATTCTTCTCTTCTGCCCTTACCCTCTTCAGTCTTTTCTCACAGATGTCACAGTGACATTCTTGTTAGGTAACATCATATCATTCTTCAGCTTAAAACTCTTCAGTGGCCTGAATTGGGAACACAGAATTCAGAGTCTGAGTCCTAGTGATGGAAAAAGAGCAGTTAGGTTTCTCTTACCTCTTAATGTGGCTCCCTGCTCTGTCTTCGTGTTCTCTGTGTGCTGCGGCCTCACTGGCCTCCTTGGAAGTTGCTCAGCTGTCGGTTTGGAACATTCTTGCTTCCAGATGGAAACAAGCTTGCATTGTACCTCCTTGATCTCTCTGCTCAGTGGCTCCATAGAGCCACTTGCTTTCCCAGCAGAGCTTCCCTCAACTCCTGTTTAAAGCTGGAGACACTTCCTTTCACCTTTCACAACCCTGCTTCCAGCTCTGTTTTCTGTCGGGCTTGTCATTCACTAGTGGATGGGTCACGTGTGTAGTACGTGCATCTGCTTGTGATTTGTCTCCTGTGGGTAGGGATGTTTTTTCTTTTTTGTTGACTATTTTATTTCAGTTAATGGTACCTTGCACAAAACAGGTGCTTAGTGGATAGTTTGCTTCTTTTTAAAGATTTATATATGCATACAAGTACTGGGGTGGGGAGTGGGGAACAAAACAGGCAGAGCAACTGAAATACACTGCTGAGGGCAAGACAGGAGAGGTCTGCTACGCCATGTGAGTCAGCTCCCTGGCTGGAGATTGAACTTGTGCTGTAGTGGCTGGTGATAGCTACCCCTGTGCTCCCAGGGAGTCCCCACTTAGTAGATAATTGAGTGAATAAATGAGTGATGAAAACATGGGAGGTGGGAAGGTGAAACCTGCTTAGAAAACATATGAGTGGAGGGTGTGTGTGTTAGGTAGAATCTGGTTTCTAGGAAAATTATATAATTAGTATTAGAAAAAAATTGCTTAAGTAAAAGCTAAAGTGAACTGCCAAAGTCGATCTAATTTATTTTGTAAACACTTAGGAAGATTTATCTAAGGCTAGGTGTACACTGACATGCAAGACTTCATGATCTAGTGCAGTAACATGAGAACTCTGAGTGCTCGGGATGTTCAACATGTGTGCTATTCATACCTGTGTGACTTTTGGGTACTTGAGCTGTGGCTAACCTAACAAGACATGGAATTGGTGGTTTTATTTAATTGTTAATTTGAATGTAAATTTGTGCAACCAAATATGGCTAGTGGCTACTCTGTTGAACAGTATAGGCAGACTGAAAATTAAGAGATCATAAAAAGTTAAGACAGGCAGTTTTGGGCCTCCCTGTGGTGCAGGGGTTAAAGTCTCAGTGCTGTCAAGCTGTGGCCAGCCACTGAGGCCTAAGTTCAATCCCCAGCCAGGGAGCTGACTCACATGGCACAGCAGACCTCTCCTGTCTGCATGCTACTCAGTAATCCACCTGTTCTGCTCCCCACTCTGGTGAATCCTCTCACTTCCATTACCTCTGGCCTACACCTCAATTCTTGTATGCATAAATAAATAAGAACAAATCTTTGTTTTTCTTTTTTCTTTTATTAAAAAGACCCAGGCTGTGATTGAGTCAAATGATGTTGCTGTTTCAGGTGACATTCAGTGATGTGGCCATTGACTTCTCTCGCGAAGAGTGGGGATGGCTAGATTCTACTCAGAGGGATCTATATAAGGATGTGATGGTCCAGAATTATGAAAACCTGCTCTCCTTAGGTAAGCATATACCCCCCTTCACCCCTAACAGGGGTGATCTTCCTTCTGCCACTCTTAATTGCTGGAGATTTTCCTGAGTAAATGGCTGGATTTTTGTTTCACTTTCCTGAGGAAATGTATAGCTCCACTGTGCCCTGCCTGAAGCTTGTCTTCCCCTTTCAGTGAACATCTTTTGTCCCTCCTTTAGTTCCATTGCTGATATCAGACTCTCTTTCCTGAGGCCCACAGCTTAAACAAGTTCTGCATTTTTTTTCTAAGCAGGTCTTTCCATACCTAAGCCTTCTGTGATCACTTTGTTGGAGGACGGGAAAGAGCCTTGCATGCTAAAGAAAAAACTGGCAGAAGGTATGTTTCTAGGTAACTTATGGTGAACCAGCCGGAAGAAAACTTTGTTCAAGATGCTTATAAAAATGTAGAGATACTTTAGAATATTTAGGGATATGATCTTCAGAGATTCCAAATGTTGTAAAATTAAGGGTTCCTTAGATTTGAAAATGACTCTTCTGTCACAAATGATCTTTCTATATTTTTTATGTTGTTTAATCAAAAGCGGAGATTTTGCCACCATAGTAATTCAAGTTGTCATTTTCTTGAAATGAAATAAGGTTAAAAAAATTTTTAAAGTTTTCATAAGGAAAAGTGTACTGATGGCTTTATACTAACGAGAACTGATAGCTTATTAGAAAATGTTTTCTGCTATGGCTGAACTTCAAAGATCGAATGAGAATCTTAGTGTCTGAGGAACTAAGGAAAGCATAAAAGGTTTTCTAAGAACATTACTTTCTAATTTATTTTATTTATGTATACAGAACTAGGGTAAACCATTGTGCATAGTAAATGATATGATTTCACACAGACACTATGTAAATTCATGTAGTATAAACCTTTGTACACCATAAAGGATATTTAGATTATTGTTTTTTTCTTAAGATTGATTTACTTATGTATACAGAACTGGGGTACAGGCTAGAGGAACAGGGGCAGTGAGAGGATTTACCAGAGGGAGTGGAGGACAGAACAGATAGACTGACAAAGTACACTGATGAGGGGAGCAGCGGGTGAGACAGGAGAGGTCTGCTGTGCCATGTGGGTCAGCTCCCTGGCCAGGATCAAACTCCTTCTGAAGTGGCTGTAGCTTGCTAGCTTCTTAGTCCTGTGCTTTAACCTGTTGTGCCACCAAGGGAGGACCTAGATTATTGTTATTTAAAAAAATACATATTTATGCATATAAGAACTGGGATACAGACCAAAGGTGCGAGGGTTGGGGAATTCACCAGACAGAGTGGGAAGCAGAAAAGGCAGGTTGAAATACACTGCTGAGGGGAGCAGTGGGGGAGAAAGGAGAGGTCTGCTGTACCATGTAGGGGCAGCTCTCTGGCATAGAATCAAACTGGTGCTGCAGTGGCTACAGATAGCTACATAGTACTGTGATGTAACCCTTTGCGCCACCAGGCAGGCTCTAGATTGTTGTTGTTTTTTTAGATATTTCATGGATGTCTGTAAATTCTCATTTCAAGCATATTAACCGAACAACAAATTAAGATTAATTGAAAGTTGGAGAACCTAGGCAATGAGCAAAACTGGTCTTTTATATCAGTACAAGCAGAAAATGTTGGTTTGAAATCCAGAAGTTCTTCCATATTTTCTTTCTGTTAGTTTCATTCCCTCCCCCCCCAACATTCTGATTGTATTTAACCCGCTTTCCTTACTATATCCTGCCTCCACGATAAGTGTGTATTCTCTGTGTCCCATTTGAACTGTTTTTGGTAATTACTTCCTATGAGAGTTTCAGGGACTTTTTTAAATCTAATTTTCCTATATCTGCGATAGAAGTTTCTTATCAAGGAGTACAGAAAAAAAGCAGCACTTTGCTTGATATATTTCAGATTGGAAATCAAGGTGGGAAAACAAGGAGTTATCAACTAAGGAGAATATTTATGATGAAGACTCATCCCAGACAGTATTAATAGAAAAATCTGTAAAGCAAAGTCATGAATTTTCAAGTGTAAACAATGATTGGGAATATGTGGAAAAGTTGGTGGGGAAGCATGAAAATCTGGTAGAACATTTTAGTCCAGTGACCCTCACTTTTAGAGAAAGTCCCACTGGAGAGAGTTTTTATAAATACAACACATTTAGACGCATCTTTCACTTCAAGTCTATTCTTTCTGAACCTCAGATAATGTCTGCTGAAGGCAGATCTCATAAACATGATACATTTAAGAGGACTGTACCCAACAAGTTAGTTATAAGAAGCATCATTGGTGGTCAGAAAGCTTTGAAATCTAGTGAGAGCGTTGCTGGTTTCAGCCAGAGCACATCTCTTCCCCTTCACCAGACTCATAATAGAGAGAAAATCTATACGTGTGGGGAATGTGGGAAAGCCTTTGGCAAGCAGTCAGTCCTGAATCGCCACTGGAGAATCCATACTGGAGAAAAACCCTATGAATGTCATAAATGTGGGAAAGCCTTCAGCCATGGCTCATCCCTTACGCGGCATCAGATCAGCCATAGTGGAGAGAAGCCTTACAAATGTCTTGAGTGTGGGAAGGCTTTCAGTCATGTCGCATCCCTTACTAATCATCAAAGCACTCACACTGGAGAGAAGCCGTATGAATGTATGAACTGTGGGAAATCTTTTAGTCGTGTTTCCCATCTCATCGAACACCTGAGAATTCATACTCAAGAAAAACTCTATGAGTGTCGAGTATGTGGGAAGGCGTTTATTCATAGATCTTCTCTCATTCACCATCAGAAAATTCACACTGGAGAGAAGCCTTATGAGTGTAGTGAATGTGGAAAAGCCTTTTGCTGTAGCTCACATCTTACTAGACATCAAAGAATTCACACTATAGAGAAACAATTTGAATGCAGCAAATGTCTGAAGGTCTTCAGTAGCCTCCCATTCCTTCTTCAGCATCAGAGTATTCATACTGAAGAAAAACCCTTTGAATGTCAGAAATGCAGGAAATCCTTCAACCAGCTCGAATCACTGAATATGCATTTGAGAAATCATATTAGATTGAAACCTTATGAATGCAGTATATGTGGGAAACCCTTCAGCCATAGGTCATCCCTGCTTCAACATCACAGAATCCATACTGGAGAGAAACCCTATGAATGTGTCAAATGTGGGAAGGCCTTCAACTGTAGTTCCAACCTTACTGTACATCAAAGAGTTCATACTGGAGAAAAGCCATATAAATGTAATGAATGTGGGAAAGCATTTAGCAAAGGCTCAAATCTTACAGCCCATCAGAAAAGACATAATGCAGAGAAACCCAGTAGTGCAATAGTGTGTAAAAAGTCTTCAGGCCATATAAATCATACATGTGAAAAAGCATGCCAGAGAGAAACTGTGGCATAAATGTAGTATTTATGAAAATACACATCAGCCATAAAGCTACATCAGAAAATTTATACTGTAGGAAAATCTTTAGAATATACTGAATATTGGACCGTCTTTAGAAATGGTTTAAGTGTTACTGTCCATCATAGTTCATGCTCTAGAGAGATAACGTAGAGGCAATAAATAAACCAGTATTAATCCCTTAATTGACATTTAGTAAATCCACATGGGAGATAAACTGTATGTGTAACAAGCATGAAAAAGACAGTAAACAACATGAATCTCTCATAAAACATATAGTTCACCATAGAAACGCTGTATGAATATAAAAGTTGTGGGAAGTTTTTCAGTTCCAGTGCAGCCCTCATTCTGAAGAATCCACACTGGAGGGAAATATAAGGAATGTAGCAAAGTTCTTAAGTTTCTTGCCAGTGAGGAGATGGTTAATACTAGAACAACTGTGTAGGAATTCTGTGTAAATCTTTCTTTGCAATGATGACATTTATAAACAGTTCTATAGAAGAGCAAATAGCATATTATAAATCAATATTTTTTTTTCTTAGTAGCTGTTGGTAGCAGTTTTATTCAGGAGTCCTACATAGAAATTACCGTTAGCTAATGGGCATGTCAAAATACTTGGTCACCATGGATCCAGTAAATGTTGCAAAATGGAACGTTAAAGAATACAAAAATGGTGTGAATGAAATTTTTGGTCTAATAAAGTCATTTTGTATATAACGAACTTTCACTGTGACACGATATTTCCTACAATTTTATTTTACTACTTGTGAAGAATTAGTATCAGCCTTCCTGGATAGCCTTGGATGGGAGATAACAAACTAGAGGAAAGTAGTGCAATGACCTCAATGCTAACAATATCTTTTGTTTGTGTGTGAGAATAATTATCAGTTCATGTCCAGTTGGCTTAATTCACACATAATTTTTACCAATGTTGTGAGAATATAACCAAGAAATAACATGAGAGGTCATAGTTTATTTATTTTAAATAAATAAAGACTTATTTATTTTATATATACAAGAACTGGGGTATAGGCCAGAAGTACGGGGGGTGGTGAGAGGCTTCTCCAGATAAAGAATGGGGGAGCAGCAGGTGGGCTGGGAGAGGTCTGCTGCACCCTGTGGGTCAGCTCCCTGCCTAGGATCCAACTCATGCTGCAGTGGCTGCGCTTTGACCCCTTGAACCACCAGGGAGGCCACCAGAACAGGCTTTTCTATAAATATACTTTTAAGTCTGAATCCTAAAGGATGAGTACTAATTATGCAGCTGTGTGCGGGTGCATGCCCTCAGCATTGGGGGACACTCTGGACAGAGCAGACAAGTGTGTTTTGTGATGTTTGCTGCAGTGGGGCTCCTTCATCCAGGGGCTGCTAGTTCCAGTGGCTTTGAGGCTACTGGCAGGATCACTAGTGACAGCAGCAGTCATCTCCCCATTCCTGGATCATGGTCACATGGGTTTACCTTGAAGTCCGTAGTCCAGAGCTGTTCCCATTACTTCAGCCTGTTCATCAATTTTGAAAGCATTTGTTTTCTGAAATAGATGTCCTAAAATACGTGAGTTTTTATTTCTTGCACTGAACCTTGGCAGCCAGTTACGTTTTGTGAGGAAGATGGCGTCACAGTTTGTGAGGGTTAGGTAAGAAATGGAGTAGTCGTTTTGCTTCCCATGGCTCCTTACAAGTTTAGCAACACTAGGCAGTGATTTGGATTGCATAGACACTTGCAAGAAGAGGGAAGTCACAGGCTTATATTTCAGATTGTGTTTTTTGACTTGATACTTGCAAGTGAAATAATTAAAAAGAACATTCCATCACTGGTACAGTAATTGTGTGGCGTGAGTGATAGGGTTTCTGGCATTAGACAAACACTGCACTCTAGACCATGTGCTACGTTAACTGAAAGCCGCACATAGCAGTTCTCAATAGAGCCAGGTTTGCATCAGGGTGGTGAGTTTTTTAAATAAGCAGAAATTTATCTTTCCTTTTATGATGAGTAATGAGATTCATTTTGAAATTTGTAAAAGCTGCATAATACATAGAAAATACAAGAGTCTGAGATTTATAATTGAGGAAGCATGGCATGGTATCAAACAGTTTAACAAGGTGTATAACTGCAGACATACAGTTATCGCTCTCCCATGCTTTCCCCTCTCTCTCAGACACACACAGAGTTGTGGGATAATGGCAGTAGCTTTCTACCATTCTTTCTTTCCCTTGCTCTACCAAGCACTAGTACTACAAAGATAATCCCCCAGATTTTATTTGCTTTCATAGCATCTTATTACACTGAGAGGATTCATCCAAATACTCACACTTTGTCACTTAAAATGCTTGAGGACACAAATGATAAAAGTTTGCATTTCTTGAGTGAAAGTGCCTTCACAATGACACTGAACTAGGAAAAGAAAACCAGAATTTTAAATGACAGTGAAGGTCTTAAGACAGCAATAAGAACATATTACTTTGTTATGGATAATGTGTCACTGATGGAGAGTCATGCTCAGTCCCACCTGTAACCATGTCTTGTGCATCTACTGTGGGCCAGATAAATAAATCAGAATCCACAGAGTGCATGCCCGCATGTGTGTGTATGCAGAACATAAGCCCTGGGGTCCTATAGGCTTGGCAGAAATGCGAGGTGCATGTATCTTGGGTTTGTGTGGCCTTGGACAAGTTATGGTACTAAATTTCTGTTTCTGTGTAAAAATGGTGGTGGTAATGGAGCAAGGGGTTAAAGCGCAGCACTATGAATCCAGCCACAGCTATCTCAGCATGAGTTCGATCCCCAGCCAGGCAGGTGACCCACATGGCGTGGCAGGCTTCTCCTTTTTTGCTTGCTGCTCCCTCAGCAGTGTACTTCATTTATCTGCTTGTTCTGCTCCCCACTCTGTCTCTGGTGAATCCTCTCACTGCTCCCGCACCTCCAGCCTATACCCCAGTTATTTATGCATAAATATGTAAATCTTTTTTTAAAAGTGGTAGTAATGCTGTCTTAGAGGATTTTAATGAAATTAAATAATTGACATAAGATGCTTATAATGGGCCCTCCCTGGTGGCGCAGTGGGTTAAAGCACAGCACTAAGAAGCATGGTTCGATTCCCACCTGCCCCGGAGGTGACCACATGGCGTAGCAGACCTCTCCTGACCCGCCTGCTGCTCCCCTCGGCAGTGTACTTCATTGATTGGCCTGTTCTGCTCCCCACTCTGTCTCTGGTGAAGCCTCTCGCTGCCCCTGAGCCTCTGGCCTGTACCCCAGTTCTGTATGCACAAATAAATAAATCTTTAAAAAAAAGATGCTTATAATGCTTGGTATCTCAAAAATATTCAATGATTATTATAGTCATTGTTTCCATATGGCAGTTTTGTTGTTCTGGTCTCAAATATCACATCTTTTAGTAGGTTTCTCTAATCACCTGTCACTTTTTTCTGACTATTAAGTTTCATGTACATTATTGAAAACCAACCTGTGTATACACTACATTTAATTTCACCATTAAAGGTCCAGATTCTATCCATCATATAATGTTTCTTTTATCCCAGTTTACTCATCCTGCCTCATCCTTTCTAGTAACCATTTGTTGGTTTTATAGTTTAAAATTGTTTCATTTAATTCATTTTTTTCCCCTATATACCACCAATTGCTGAAATCCTATGGTGTTTGTTTTTCTCCATCTGGTTTATTTCATTGTTATTTTTAAAATTTGCTTTGAAGAATTGGGGTGTAGGCCAAAGGTATGTACATGTGGTGACAAGATTCACCAGAGACAGAGTGGGGAGTAGAACAGGCAGCTCGACTGAAATACAGTACTGAAGGGAGCAGTTGGGGAGCAGTTGGCGAGCAGGAGCGGTCTGCCACACCATGTGGATCAGCTCTGGGGCTGGGGCTTGAACTCACATCTTAGTGGTGATAGTGCTGAGACAACCTATCAGCCACTAGGAAACCCCGCTGTTATTCATATCTACTTGCTGTTTCACTTTTGGGGGCATTCTTACAAGACTGCCATTATTACAAGACTTCAAAAAAGAAAGCACTTTGGTATTTGAGCCATTTTGAGGGGGATTGGATTTTTTTTCCCAAAAAAATGCTCTAAGGAGACACAAAGATCACCAATAAGTTGGTGATAATAGATAAAGTAACAGCAGAGTTACAGGAAGGAAGGAGGATCCCTATAGGGGTGTTCTGGAAAAAGTGAAGCATGAAGAT